TATATATATATATATATATTACCTCATTATAAAAACCTATCAAACTATTAACAAAGTATTTCCAGTTTTAGGCAGAGATTATTCCCGGTAAGTAGGTTAGGTGGTTAGGTATTATATAAATTGGAAATAATTTAATTCCGGTTTTTATACCAACATTAAAAGCTCCAAATGGCTACAAAAATTGATCTCCGAAGTTTCATAATTTCGTAAGACCTAGCAAATATTTTACTTTTTGCTCCATTTTTTAGTTATTTTTTTACGTAAGTATTTTTTAATAGAATTTAAATTTATATACTACTGTAATAATTATTCAGAGCAATGACTGAAAATATTTCGCAATTATTACACAGGGTGTTTCTCAAATAAGTGTGTTCCTTATTATAGACGGCACGAAAATGAGCAACATTTATTAAGCAACTGATGGTCTACAACATTTCGTTTTAAATTGAAAAAAAATATTTCACATGAAGGTTTAAACAAATTTAAAGCCGTCCCTGGTGCGGCGGACAGCTGTACCTTTGACACAGCTTGATGTGGCGGTCGAGAACCAAGCGAGACGGAATCGTGCTAACTCTCTCAGATTAAGCGGAATAGTCGGGGCTGGATTAAAAGAATTTTTATTATTGAAATAAAATATTTAGTTTCTACCTGACAGTACCGTAGTAGGTAATTTTAATAATATGAAATTTGAATTAGAATATTACGTGGTATGACATTAAAAGTAGAAAATAGGTATTTTAGATAGGTAATAGGTTTTGTACTTGGAGTTAATACGGATTCTTAAAAGAAAACTTGTAGACTAATTAAAATTCCTTGTTGTAAGTTCCTGTTTACTGACGTAGAGAAGAAAATCGCGTTTTTTCGAACAAAAAATCGTTAATATCTCGAAAACGGTAGATTTTAGAGAAAAGTTGCATATGAACATATTTGTTCAGGATACCCCAAAAGGCCTATAAAAATGTATTTCGAGCGATAAAATCGAAAATTACGAATTTGTTTAAAAAAGTAGTTTAAACAATTTTTGACCATTAGTAACGTCTGGCAACATGCGGATATGATTCAAGGGTCATTTTTTTAGTAAGATTATGAAAAAAAATTCGAATGAGAATCATGTTCCTAGCGGGAGCAACGATACAGCCTGGACTAATACTTATACATATTATAAAACATACCTACAATATAATATACAAAAAAATATAATAACATAATATACATATAGTATTAAAAATATAATCATTACAGATTTCTCCCTTATTATAAGTTTATTTTTTGAATATTCCTAAAAGTTTGGTTTATATAGTTTATAACGTATAATAAATTCTAACCCTTAAATATAACCTAAGTACAAATTCTTTCGGAAAAGTATGACACGGATGACTAAAAGGTAGTCTTCTAATTAATTCAAAAAATGTGCTACAAATGTTATTTTTTGTGGATAATTGTTCAAAATTATCTTGAAATATCTTTTCAGTGTTACAAATGAGCTCAACAAAGTTATCGTTTGGCATTTGCAATTGTCCAAATAAGGTATCTTCATTTTCATTATTATTTAAAATAAAAATAAATCAACGAAATTATACCCATGCCTATGATAGCAATTCTTACTACCCGTTGTCGTTACTCGCCTGAACGAACGCCAAAGCCGTCTTTTCCGCTGGAAGGCGGGGCATAAACGCTGCGCGGCGGAATCGATGCTAACGGTTCCCGCCAAGACAGTTGAGGAGTTGTATAAGCTGTGCCTTTGATATCAAAGTTGCCGTGCACCGAAGTGCGAAAGAGCTGATGGCGGTTTTAACGATTTAAATTTTGTGTTAGAAAATGCTGAAATGTATTCAAATCTCGTTTAAAAGTAACACAAATTAAACGTATAAACGAATTACTTACCAATAGACGATATGCTCTGCAAAAATTGTTCAAAGTTATTTTCAAGTGCCAATAAACATGCTTCCAAATAACGCTCAAAATTCTGTCACCAAAAGCACCACACCACACATTCACTGAAAACCGTTGCTGGAACCGAGATCTCTGTACAAAGTGAGGATTTGCATCACACCAATAAATATTTTACACGCCGGCAACATACAACGCACGTGCACAGGGTCGGCTTACATTTATGGTTAATTTTCTTAATTAATTTTCTCGAAAACGGAAGCATTTAGACAATCAGTTACTTAATAAAGGTCGTTCATTTTATGCCCTCTATCACCCTTTTCGGAACGCACTTATTTCAGAAGCACCCTGGATAAAAATAGACTTAAAGAATTACATAAAGGAATAGGAAAAGAAAAATAAAGTTGTAAATTGTCATGCAAATTACATTAGAGAATTAGCGTTAAGCCCGGTCCAGACATGCTACAAAACACGGTTATATAACAAAGTTATCTAACATGTTGCAAAAATTTTTGCTACATGTAGCAGATTTTCCTGTTAGATGTTATGCTAGAAGTTATCCATCTCGAGTCGGTAAGATCAAAGGAAGTTATACAACACTGCTAATGTTTCTTGTTACACACGCGTCCACACATGCTAGATTACGACGTCAACAACCGATGTGACCAGTGTCGCGCATAAGTTGTAAATACATACATACTACATAGGTACTGTGCAAAACCGTACTTATCTTATCAACTTCGACGTCACCTGTTACATAGGTGTTGTATAACAATGAAAAAGTAATATTAACGGTCGATAGAAGGAAGCACAAAAAACAGGCACTTAGGTAGAAAATTCTGGAAGGAAGCCTAAATAGTTGAAGATAGGCAGTTGAAGTGAGACCAGTGTGCAGATAGGTAGCAAGACGATCGGCAGGCAGTGTGACAANCGAACCCAAAACCTCTTTTTTCGTGATTTCTTCTCCTTGGAAAGTAGAATCACGCACGCCGCTGCCGCAAGAAGTTGGTGTTCTGCGTTCGAAAGATCCATCTTGACTAATATTCATGTGTGGACGCAAGCATGTTTTCTAACAAAGTTACATAACAAAGTTATACAACAATGTTTCCATGTATGGACCGGGCTTTAGAAATAAAACACATAAGAACACTTTTATAGGCTAATTTATTTATTTACATTTTATATACAAAAATATATACAATGAGTTCTAACTGACTACATATCACATTACCATAAAATGTAAGAAATTAATAAATACAGTTAATTGTTACAAATATAAATATTTTTTAACAGTACAATAAGATATATCACTAACAAATTTAATTTTATTGTGTCTGTCATTAGCTTAGTACCCTCTTGCATTGCATCGCTATTTGAAGTTTATAATATGGACTTATGTACTAAAATTGAACTTTGGTTCAGAGTTGAAGGGCACCTAAAATTAATAAATATCAAAGATGATTTGATGACATTTTTTCTGATTCCATTAAAATCAATGCTTCGATTAGTTCAAATTAAATTTTCCAATTTTAGAATAACTAGATTAGTGCCAAGGCCGAAAAAAACAAAAAAAATTTTGGTTTTTAGATTCAGACCTATCATTTCCTATAGATTTTGATGTGTTGAAACCAAACTGGAAGAGTATTAAAATGTTTATAATTTTGGAACAAGTCTCTTCTATATAGTCCAGTCGGCAGAGGCCGAAAAGTTACTGTAGGTGACATTTTCTTGATAACTCGGAAATAACTACACAGGAATACTTTAAATGATGAGTACAATAACAGGCTAATTTGCTGACAAGGTATTTTATCAGGAAAAAAGATATTAACAATTTAATCATAAAAAAAAAATTTTTTTATTAGTTTTCTTTAAATAACTCAGCGGGATGACTTTGTACGAAAAAATGCTTAGGACATGATTTTGTTCGTAATAAAAATAGCTACAAAATATATATGTATATTTATAAAATATTCCATCACGGTAGATTAACCAGCACTATTGTAGTTTCGGTTTC